AAGTGTCCATAGAGAAATATTAGGCAAATTTGCACCAATCTTTCCAGGTGACTCACAACTGATGACAAAGGCAGACCTGAGATCCATTGAGATCAAAATGTTAGGACTTTCCCCAGGATCAGCAGCAAGCAAAAGATCACTTGAAAATTTAATGAAGCCTCTGAAACCTCAAGCCTGAGTGGAATTACTTTGGACACACAAACACACACACACACACACACACACACACACACACACACACACACACACACACACACACAAAGAGAAAAACACACGTGAAAACCCACCTTCCAGCTACTGTCAGAGCTGAGGGTTCGGGAGGCGTAATGGCTGTAATAAACTTTACATGGATCAGGCTTGACCTCTTTGCCTCTTAAACCTTTTATGCTTTAAAAGCTCTGAAGTCCGCAGTCTCGTTCCTACTCAGTCAACAAAGAGCTTTAAAGTCAACTAACGACATGGACATGTTGTTTGTTATCTCTTTATGGAGAGGATATGACTTTAATCCGCTCAGTCGGAGAGAAGCAGTGTGTGTGTAATGTGGAGACAACGAGTGTGCATGACGCATCTTAAGACAGTGACATTGGTGTTACAATGGTTTATATAGCAAATCGTAGGTTGGAAAAGGTTCATTTTAAGTAAATGTTATACAATTATTCCAATTATTATTTGTAGTACCATTGTTATTGTTGTTGTTGTTATTGTTATTATTATTATTATCATCATCATTTTAATTTGTAAGATTTAAATCTCTTCTCCACATGCTTCTCTTGCCGACCAGCTATAGCAAAGGATTGTAGTTAAGCTAGATCTGCCTGAACATCTGCTCATGTTTACACATGTGGTAAAGTCACTGCGCTCAGCTTACTGAAATGCACAGTTGCTCAGCTCAGCATGAAAAGAACCTATTTCCGATAGACTCCCATACTGTCCCACATGTATTTTCTTTCTACTAACTATGTGAAGTGCATGCCTGTATTTGTGTGCACGTGTATTAAGAGTTGTTATCTCATGGGTTGCTCCCACTATAATTCCCCGTATATAAATAGCATGGCAAGAATAGGACCACATGGGTTGGCAGGGGCCCCATACGACACCTCTGTTATTCTGTTATACGCTTTCCTAACACAAGTCAAGGTCACAATGCCTCCTTAGAAGCATTTGTCCTCACAGCAGAGCTACAAGTATCTTTTTCTATGTATATGCAAATGTATTATAGTATATGATATACTGTGTATGTCCACATATATTATATCTTAAATATCTCTTCATTAATTGTTTTATTCTTATTTATTCAGATTTTTATTTTTCATTCTTTTGAGTTATAAACCCTGTTAAACCACAAATCACTTCCTTGCCCACTGATCTGTTAAATTAATGTAATTCAAGACTTCAGCACAGAACTTCAGACAGCCTGCCTTTTAAAATGTGGTTTAATGTTGTCATTAATCAAATGGAAGTAGGTTCATTTTAAATGCCATGGTGTTAAAATCACAACATTTGATTGTGGTTATGCAATGTTAAAATGCATATACATTTTAACCTCATTACGGTTGGAAGAGTTTGTGTTTTTATGTTTAAGAATCCATTCAATTGATCTAAATAGAATAGTTTTTGCTAATATGGATCATTTTAATAATGAATAAATGTACAGCATGTGTCATGTACTCTAGAAAAAAGTCTCTCATGTGTTTTCATTCAATGCACAACATCTAGATTAATTTTATATTGTGTCCACATTGATTACATTGTTTTTGTGCAGATTTTTCTTTTGTTTGCTTAAGCATTTGCAGATATGCAGGTATACTGCCATCAATTAACATACAAATACATGGAATCATAATATAATACAATGATTTTGAAGAGAGTATGACAGAAAGAACACTGAGAAAGTCCTTTTCCTCCTTTTTTCCTGCTCTAATTATGGACGGTATCACACTGACCCTTGTCAGACTTACTAGACTTAGGTTACGGTTAGGGTAAAGGTCAACGTATGGTATGTTAAGGGTTGGGGATAGGCATTTAGTTGTGATAGTTAAGGTTAGGGTAAGGGGGTCGGGAAAGCATTATGGCAATGAGTGTCCTCACAAAGATAGAAGTACAGGAATGTGTGTGTGTGTGTGTAGGGTGAGTTAGTCAAGCATGGAGAGATTTGAGGATCTAATCGCTCCATTCCACTCTAGAAGGCCTTGAGCACAGATCACTGAGAGATGGCTTATGGCACACATGTCAGACACACACACACACACATATATATACATATATATATATATATATATCTTACTGTTATGACGTCATCTATTTTGTTCTTATTATAATTGCTTTTATTGTTTCTGTTTTTACCATGTAAAATGTCTTTGAGTGCCTTTTAAAGCGCTATACAAATAAAATGTATTATTATTATATATACAGGTACATATACACACAACCACAGACACACACTTGCATACAAAAATATAAATGGCACAATATTGACAGATTTCTTTCTGCTTCTTTTCATTGTTTTTCTGTGACCTGTGTCCATGCTTGTTTGCATGTGTGTTGTGTGTGTGTGTGTGCGTGTAGCCTTGGCCACAGCTCTAGTTTCTAGTCCAGCATAAGGTTACCCAATGTAGTCTGTTATAAGTCAGTCTTTCTGATGTCAATTGAGGAAGAAGCAGAAAGCTACCACAGTGGCAGAACTTGTCAACAACCTTTTTTCTCCCTCTCCCGTTTTTGCTTTTTTCAGCATATTGTACACACACATGGTCAGTAGACTTCTTGCTCAGGAAGGTAAGGTGTGTGCTGCTTGCTTATTATTCTGTCTAGAGATAGATAGATAGATAGATAGATAGATAGATAGTTACTTTATTAATCCCGCAAGGGGAAATATTAAATATAAAAATGCATAATATATACAATAAAATAGAACAATATTAAATTAACTAACTAAACAATAGTGCAAAGATTTAACCAAACAAGCAAACAACAGTGTAACGGTGTTATAGTTGTGTGATTGATTTGGCCAGAGGTGATTTATTGTAAAGTCTTATTGCAGTGGGGCAATGTTGAGCTTGTTTAGGCAGTTAAGTTCCCATTACGTTTCTTCTTTTAACAGAAAAGGGAGCAGCTTGGCATTGCAGCTTTTATCTCATTTCACATGTCTTGAGTCAGATTTCACTCTGTTTTTAGAAGAAGGCAGAATCTTAACCTAAACATACAACTTTCAAAAGAGCTGTGGCACAGCTGTAAATAAAGCTAAATACCGCAATCTGTGCAACCATCTTGAACTGTTCTGGAAACCTTTTGTTATTTTGGTGAGTCACAGCAATCATACGTCTTTCCGTTACTTTCTGAGACAGACATCTAAGGGTCGGCAGTTCGTTCGGCATATTGAATTATTGGAAAAACATGAGGAATTGGTCGAGCAGTGCAATATCATTGGCTAATTTCCAGGTATTGATCTAAGAGCAAGTGTCTTCTTGTGCAACTTCTATTTTAGAATCATGAGAAAGTTATGCTTGTGGTGTTGATTTGATTTAACATTTTACATGGCTTTCATCATGTAATTGTATCATAGGTGCAATCCTACTGGACGTCTTTACTCATTTTGAGTGAGCCCTCTTCCTGTGTGCACAATCCATCACAGATTTTGTGTCTTTTACCCCTCATTGTCGTTTGTTTCGTCTGCTCTTGATAAACTGCCCCTCTTTCCTTGTCAGGGTTGCTCTCTCATCATCCTGTCTATCCACCCACCTATCAACTCCCACTCTCTCTCATTGTCACTTTCCTTTCCTTGTCTTGCATTCTGTCCTCATCCCGCCCAATCCCCAATCCTTCCACCCACATCCTTCTTCCCAACAATTTTCATGTCATGCTCTTTATCCACTCAGCCGGCCCATCTCCCCCCCCTTCTTTTTCCCAGAGTATTGCTATCACTGGCACTGGTTTTAGATGGCACTGGTTTTTAATTAGACATCTGTATTAGGCGTCAGCATTCAGTCACACACAATCACACATGTACAATATATGCACTGCACAGACACACACACATTTAGACAAATGCAATCACACTAATTGATGCACACCTCAAAGAGCAGCTTACTGATAAATGTAATCTTCTTGCTGATGAAAAGTCACACTAGCTCGGGTCAGTTTAAATCCAGATACACATGCATGGCACAATAGGAGCAGAGTGTATTTCCAGAAGAAGTAATGTGTCATATTGCAGTGTAAATGTGACCCCTGGTGTCATGGGGAAGCTTGGCCCGAGCTATCACTGAACAGCCAGTTAATTATGCACTAATGTATGCGCAGCCCCAGTTACCCTGAGATGCTCTCTCCTTCTACAGCCTGGGTTATTACAGGTCGCGTACCTTGATTCCCTTTGAGTGTTATGTTTGCGATTATGTCTATGTGTGAGATAGAGAAATAATGTGTGTGGATATTCAAAGATATTCAAGCATGTAACAAATAAGCCCTCCATTAGCTAGTCTTGTTTTATGTTTGTTGTCTTCGTGTTTCACAGTTACATGACTCATCACAGTGTGTTGATAAAACACCATAACATAAAAAAGTAACAAGAAGTTTGTCTTTCTTTCAAAAGGATTGATTATTATTTTATAATCTCCATTTTCTTTCTTTCTTTACATCTTCAAGCTGCCTCACCCTCGTTCTCCTCTTTCTTCCCACATTTCTGTCTCCCTCTCCCCCTCGCTTTTCTCTTTCTGCTGGTTTCTGGAGAGATGGGTATCTAAGAAACAAGGAGTTTTGATAGAACATCTGCTGTCCAATGTCATATACTTATCGAATGATGACAATAAACACAGAACAAACAATTAACCATTGAACAAAACACACTGACTCTCTTTCTCTGTCTCTCACTCTACAGGTGTTTACATTTTTCCTGTGACTGTAAGTGCTTTGCTGAAGAGCTCTGGTACCCTGCTGCTGATTCTGGTGACTGAGCCTCCCATCTGTCCATCTGTCTGTGTGTGTGTGTGTGTGTGTGTGTGTGTGTGTGTGTGTGTGTGTGTGTGTGTGTGTGTGTGTGTGAGATTGCGTTAACCTGGGGTACCAAGGCTTTGCACTGGCTGAACTGCAGCCATGGATGTGGCCCTGGTAGACTTTGAGAGCCTAGATGATCTTGATGGCAGCTTTGAGGATGAGGTGGACTCCTACGCTGATGAAACCACAGCTCTCACAGTGGACTTGCCTCCAGAGCACAGCAGCCCAGGCAGCAACTACCTTATGCGAGCCTCTCAGATTTCCTCTACACCCGTCCCCTCCTGCATTTGGGAATCCACCTCTTCTATACCCATTCCACACACACAGACACTAGGAGTACCCCAGTCCCCAAAGATGCCAATTCCTAGCAGACAAGGGTACAGTAGCTGCGCCAGTATGATCTCAAACTGGAAATTGCTGCTAAATAGTGAGGGCACTAAGGAGAGTGAGACGATCTTTCGCCGGCTTGCAAAAGATTGCTGCGAGGATCTGTTTACGGATAAAAAAGGGCTGGATGACGGAGACCAGAAAGTAATCATCAACATCGCCGGTCTTCGTTTTGAGACACAGCTCAAAACTTTGGACCAGTTTCCTGAGACGCTGCTAGGTGATCCTTTAAAGAGGATGTACTACTTTGATCCAATGAGGAACGAGTACTTCTTTGATCGGAACCGACCAAGCTTTGACGGCATCTTGTATTATTACCAGTCAGGGGGTAAGATCAGACGTCCGGCTAACGTTCCCCTGGATGTGTTTGCAGATGAAATTGTGTTCTACGAGCTTGGAATCGAGGCCATGGAGCAGTTCAGAGAAGATGAAGGATTCATAAAGGATGTTGAGATCCCTCTACCTAATAATGATGTGTACAGGCAATTCTGGTTGCTGTTTGAGTACCCAGAGAGCTCAAATGCAGCCCGAGGTGTAGCACTAGTGTCGGTTTTTGTTATTGTCATATCTATCATTATTTTTTGCATGGAAACGCTGCCAGAATTCAGAGATGACTCTGACCCAATTGTGCACACAGCATTTCTGCCTTTCAACCAATCTAGATTTCACAGTTCTGTGGCTCCATCTGGTGCAAAGCCCACAACTTTCTCCGATCCTTTCTTCATCATTGAGTCTGCCTGCATTGCGTGGTTCTTCTTTGAGCTGTGTGTGAGATTTGTGGTCTGTCCTAGCAAAAGGGAATTTTTCAACAACATCATGAACATCATTGACATTGTATCCATAATCCCTTATTTTGTTACCGTGATTACAGAATTGATCTCAACGCCACAAGAGAGCTCAGGTCAGAACATGTCTTTGGCCATTCTGCGTATCATCCGTCTGGTCAGGGTGTTTCGTATATTCAAACTCTCACGTCACTCCAAGGGGCTGCAGATCCTGGGACAGACTCTGAAGGCCAGCATGCGTGAGCTTGGCTTGTTAATCTTCTTCCTCTTCATCGGAGTCATACTCTTCTCCAGTGCTATCTACTTTGCTGAGGTAGATGAGCCGAACACCCAGTTCGTTAGCATACCTGATGGCTTCTGGTGGGCTGTGGTTACCATGACAACTGTAGGCTACGGGGACATGTGTCCCATTACCACGGGGGGAAAAATGGTCGGCACCTTGTGTGCCATCGCAGGTGTGCTGACCATTGCTTTGCCTGTTCCCGTCATTGTTTCCAACTTCAACTACTTCTACCACAGAGAGACGGAAGCAGAGGACAAGGTGCCCCTGGCAGATGCTGTTGAGCAAGCCATGAAGGCTGTTACAGATACCAAAGAGGGCAGCAACACCTCACTCAATAAAGCCAACGGCATCTGACAGACCGACAAAGGGAAATAACTGAACACAATTTAGAGTTAGAGACTAAGGAATATTCAAGAGAAATGAGAATATAGAGGAAATGAACTGATGAAATGATTTCCCTCAAATAAGGGTCTAATAGGATCAATGATATAAAATATTTGTACTTTGTAAAATAAAAAGGTTTTACAAGGATATCCAGAATGTACTGTACTTACCTCTTTTCTGTCTAATTTGAAAATGACACTTTGAAAACAACAGACAAGCTGTCAAATTCAGCTATGTTCATGTTCAGGGTTGTATGTCAACATAGGTTTAGGACTCTTCTTTAGTTGCATAGAAACATAATGTTTTTATTTATTATTTTGGTCTTATTTTCAATGTCTTGGCCATTAATCCTTTTGCTTATAACAGTTTGCACATCATCACTGATATTTGTGGTGAAATTGACTTTTATCACAACTATAAAATAGTGTCTTATTGGTTCAAAACAGTCAAACTTAATGAAAGGTAAAGAATGCTGGAATAGCTAATACATTATCTGATTATGATGATTTACAGGTTAAGGAAGTGTGAGCAACAGGTCATGTTACACCATAAAAGACGTTTATGTTGGAAAATTTGGTCAATGCCTTTTTGTGAACTTCAGAATAACTGTGTGAAATTGTAACTGATCCGATTGATGGCCAATCCTACACAAATAAGACCAAGATTGTAAAAATAACATTAACAAAACAACACAATGTTCCTGTAGGTGTCTTGAATGAGTAACTTGTGTATAGTTGTAGTTTACTGTATGTCCCTTCTGTATTTATTTATTTAAAACTTAATAGCTATTGTATTTATTCATCCTCTTTGATGAGTAGCGTGGATAACAATACTCCACTAATGTTAGCAGATGAACTGACTCCACACTATGTATTATAATGGGGTGCCTTAATTGATTTTAGCATATTGTTGACTTTGCCATACATAATCTCAGTGTAAAATATATGTTTGTCATGCATATATGCTCAGTATTTTTGCTGGTTTAGCTTGATTGAAAATGTAGACGTTGCAACCTCTCTCCATTCTAGCATTTGTTTGTAAGAGTTATTTTCCACAATGCTGTCCAACATAGAAATGCATCCTGACCATAAATACAATTTAACATATCCAAAGTGGATCCCATCTGTTTTACTCTCCTTATAAACATCATTATTTTTGTCAATTAGTGTAAATCGTATTAAGGAAGTATGCCTTTCAGTGAGACCATGAAAAACACTAAAATTGATAGCGAGAATTAAGAAGCCAAAGATAGTTGCTGAATAAAGGGAACTGTTATGAGGAAGGGGGACATTACAAGCCACAATGTCCCATGATCCGTCTTGTTTTGGAGGAGAAAGTGTCAATTATGCTGCATCGGTGTAATGTTCTGGTGGTTTGTTTCATGAGTATTTCTTTTATAACACATTTTCCTATAATAATAGAATTTTTGGAAAAGGAGAAAAGCGTCTGATTGGGCTTAAGGAATAAGATGTAATCTCGAAATCACAGACCTGTGTAATGTCTGAATTTCTAGTTGAGCATGTGATCAAAGATTATATGTACTGTATGTGTATGTGTTTTCTGTCTGTATTACAATTGGCTTAATGCTGATGATGATATATTTTTAAGATAGTCCCTTGTCTGTAAAGTCACTGTTGTTCGAAAAGTTCAGAGGCCTCAGGCCTGTGTTGTCATGGCTGCAAGTTTATTACAACAACAAGACCATTACACTGTATTTGTATTTGTATACATGATAACATTTCAGTATACAGTTTACTATGATGTATGCAATATATTCTTGGATTTTAAATCATGTCCTCTCCTGTTTAATGTGCGCTCATGTGTTTATAGAAAGGTGTATGTTTTTGTGCACGTGTGTGTTTGTGAGAGACCGAGAGGCAGTTAGCGCTCTTTTATTTTCTTCTTATCTCCATCGGTGTTCCCCATTTCGTCATTGCTTTCAGTGGCCTGTCTCTGCTTTTACTGTAATGTTAGTACACACACACACACACACACACACACACACACACACACACACAAAGTATCGTTGGAAGTCAGCCAAGCAACAATAGGATGCCAGTCTTCGGTTGACATGGAGTAGTTCTCTAGCTATTGATGCCTGTTAGCTTCACCCGATACCCTTCTCTCTGGACTCACCTCAACACCTCGTCTCAGGCCGACAAATTCTCCTAAGCTAAATGTATACATTTGGTAAATACTTATTGGTAATACTTATTACCTATGTTTCAGATAAAACAATATCTAGCAGTCACCAACAGGATCCTAAAAGAAGCACTTGCTTCCTTCAAGGGTGATGCAGAGTAAAATGCAACAGACTCCTTATGTTGTAAAACACTGTCGGATTTTTTATTACCAAATTACAATGAAAATTGTGTTGTGCATATTCATAGTAGGTAGCTAGTGGGCAAAGTGAAATATATGTTTGAGCACAGTATTCAGGTAATAGAGCACAATTAGACGATGTCTTATGACAGCAGTGGTGTTTTTTCTGTCGCTAATATGCAAATACGTTGCTGCAGCATAATCAACCAAATATTTACTAAGCTCTGCTGATGAGTAATGGTGCAGTGAAGAAATGCTTCTGAATGAAGGGCAAATCTACTGTACGTCACACAACCGATAAAAGACAATTCATAATAACACATGATGCCAGGGACGTCATTTTGATAGAAACATTTCAGGAAGCAGTTTTTATATGAATTTCTATGAAATCTTTCATATTTTTAGAGCCAAGAGATCCGGTGTAGAAACACCTTTTACAGTGCAGATCCGGATATGTATACGACATGAGTGGCTAAATGGCATAAACCTATGTGTGACCACATTCCTGAAATATCAAGGTATGCTTTCCATGTTCATGCAGAATATTAGATTTAAGCAGTGCATTACATTTACAGGGCGTCTGGTGATATACTAAACAAGTTTCGATTTGCAAGAAATGTCTAATTAGCTATGCAGATTAAGATGTACTCACGGGCCACTTTAGAGCTAAATCTTATTCTGTGTCACATTGCAACTGTTGTGTTATTATGCAAATAATACAAAAACAGTGTTTCCAACATTCAGACTCTCAGAGTGCTGCTGAAGAGATCAGACACGTTTTATGGCAACTCTCAATCCCCAAAATTGTATTTTCAATCGCTGTGGTCAAACCAGTTGCATTACCTCCAGGAAAACCTAAACTAAACAGGAACCCTAAATCATGAATAGATGTATGACCCAGATTATTACTCCATGGCCGAAAGAAATTAGGTCCATCCAAGGACAAATAATGAAAACAGCTGGCGATGAAAAGAGAGAAAGGAGGGATGAATGACACTTGGGAGAAGACGAGAGCAGAGTTCACACGCTACCTGGTCTCTGGTAAGGGACTGTCGGGCCACATAGATAAGTTACAAGCAAGTGCGGAAAGAGGTTACACACACATACATCTGTATGTTCACACACACACACACACACACACACACACACACAAAAAGACCTTCCCCTGAGAGAATAAAGTTGGCAGTTGTGTTATGTAACTTTAAAAAGAAGCTTTTTCCTCGGAGGAACTTATATGAACATTTTAACTTGTTGCTTTGTATTGCAATAATTGCTCGACCGGAGCCATCGATAATGTTATTAGTTCCACCTTTGCTTTACCTGCTTTTCTGTCGAAATGTCTGCTCTGAAAAAAAAATCTATTAAGAAGAAACGAGAATGCTGTGATGCTATATTCAAAGTCAAATAGACTAACTAGTTCAGAAGCAGTTATCTTGCTCATAAGTTCTCTCAGTATATATGTAGAGCCCTTTGTCCTTTTCCAATATCTCCAGATTTCTAAATTTGCAATAACTAGAAATTGACTAGAAATACTGTTGAACCTCATAATTTCCATGGATTCAAACTCAAATTTGAAATTCCTGGAATCAAACTAAACTGTGTGATCAAAGAGCTGAAACTGCACAGATCCCTATCAAGTGCTTAAAGATGCATGAGAGTGCTCCATCATTAACGAGATGCTTTGATGGAAACTTCAACGCCGGAGTGAGAGATACGAGGAGTGAGTGAGAAGATAGACAAAGGAGGCATAAGATGGAGAGAGTTTGTGTGACACGGAGGAAAGAACTGACACTCAGTTGATTTCAGTTTAACGTAAGGCCTCCCTCCTCTTAGCGTCATGCTGCGTGTTCGTCTTCATCTATAATTACCTGCGTCTGGTGATAGTAGCCCAATGTCATAGCGTGCACTCAGGCAGTACAAGTGAAAAAAACTCCAAACTTGGATTTGTTATTTTAAAATGTTTTGTTTCGGCGTTTTGTACAAAAAACTAAATTTTCCCACGTTTCATATTTAGACCAAATGTGATGTTCCTAATCGGTGTAAAAAGCAAAAAGGAACACGGACAAACATTTTATAACTTGAACATTCAAATTTAAATTTGTCAGTGTGGTAAAGACAATAACTTGGCTTATAATACATAATTGTTGTAATTGTGATTATTTCTTTTTTTATTACTTTTGTCACCATGACCTGGATGAGCAAGTGATAGAGTGAAAGATGAGAAATCTAAAGCCAACAAATCAGGTTACACTGGGAATAAATTCATTTAATTGCATAAGTAAGTACTTATGTCAGGCACTCTGGGAAAAGATAACATTACTCTTAGTGAATGGACCCTGGGAAAAACATGTTTTTATCATCTTGTAAGTCCAGCTCAGGACAGAACTGTGTTTCATTGCAACCAGTCATGGGATACATTAAAGTTGTAACCTATGACTCAACGATAACACCCAATAGATGACTAATCCTTTCTATCATAGTCAGAATTTATAAAACCAGTTTTACAATGCTACACTTGTTTTTTTAATTCTTGTTTTTCCACTGACCCTTTTACTGGAAAGACTCACAGGGTTGAAAATATACAACTTTCCAATAGCCAATGGCATTTAGATAGAATTGATTACATGTTCATGAACAAATACAATCTGACTAAAAAATGTGACTATAAAGATTAAACAGATCTGCAAATAGACATTTAATACTGAACCTATGGGCATTACACTGTGGCACATTACTCATGAGGATACACCTTTTAAATCAAAAGTCTTTTCAACCTTGACAGGAACAGAAGGTGGAGAAAGTGAGGCGATAAATCAAACACACCTGTGAACTGGGGGAAGGGGAGAAACTGACAACAGCATGGAGCAGAACAGAAAGAGGAGTGAGAGTGGCTGAAGAAAGACATAACTACAAATTGAACCCAGTTTCTGGCGATCTTTGCTCAAGAGAAAAATGGTGATGTATATGCAAGTAAATGTGGCAGTTGTTACGAGAACCATCTGGATTTTCAACAATGTGCAGCTAGAAGTGTGCTGATTGCTGGAATGGGTTTGGATGTGCGTTGCTCACTCTTTGACCTGCTCGGATGTGGCTGTGGACCACCTTGTCTTTGTTGGACGCCAACAGTTGAGCTAAGTCCGCTTTCCTTCAAAACTCTAGGCTTATCCTATCTTCTATTCTTCTGTCTCAGGTTAATATGCATTAGCCCGCCATCCCACACTGC